GGCTATACTGGATACTACTACAGGTATCATTAGCCGACGTATAAGGGCAACCCAGAGAGCTTAACGCGCCTTAGGTGTAGGATGCCGGATTTAGGGTAGAGCCACTGCTAGGCGAAACATAGTATTTAAGATTTTTAATATTTGGAAAAAAAATATTGAGAATTTAAAAAAATATTTTAATTTTAACAGCCGGTTTGAAAAATAACGATGATTGTACAATGGTTGTTTAGTATCCTAAAATGTTTGTCAAATAGGCAATAAATAAAAAACCTTTCGAGGAAATTTAAAATAGCATTTAGAAACATATAAATATCAATAAAATAATACGATTTTGCCAATAATCTTTTATCAGTACAACAAAAATAATTAAATTGGTTTCGTTTTGAACACAGTAACAACAATTTATTAAATACGTACATCTTTTAAATATATTGTTTAACTTAGTCATTGAGCACAAATATATTTAATTTTTGGAAAACTGGAATTATGATAGCCATACAGTTTATGTTTGTTGTGTTTTCTGTATTAATAATCTATTCAACTGGTACCGGACATCCTCAAAACAGAAATGATATCGAATTGAAAAACCTAGACAAGCTACCTAATTATAAATTTATTGAAAATGAACCAGTTTACGATCCAGATTACAATGTTGTATTGTTTAGTGAATTGGTATCTCAATTTAATGATGGATCTATAAATTCGTTAAAAGAAGGAAATCGTATAAATTTTGACTTTGTATTTAACAAATCGTTTAAGTTAGCAGTTGAAAGCCGAACATTTAAGTATTTAAATTTACTGTTTTTATATAGTTATAACATTTTGAAATCTGATGATAGTCATCAATTCGATTCTGAAATCGTTATAAGTTTATTACTTTCAGCTGTTTTAAGTATTCAAGAAGGTCTTTATAGAATGCCCGTTGTAATTAATAATTTTACATATTATCAAGATCTTGAAGAATCAGTAAAAGAAGAAAAATTGCTACAATTTCTAAACTCAACGATAGGTATAAAAGACGATTTTATCTTCCATTTTCACAATAATTCAAATGGATCTAATACATCCCCAACACCAGATATAACATACAAATCGTTAGAACCATTTGACGATTACCTTTATATTTTTTCAAAAAATAAATTGATTCTCAAAAAACTAAAGAGTGTTTTTCAATTAATTGTGCTTCGTGTCAAATCAGAGTATGATATGTGAACATTTAAAATACATTTTTTTTTCGTTCAATAAATAATAAACATGTAATCAAAAAATTATTAATTATATTTTTTAAATACAATTATTATATAGTCAGATGATATATTGTATTTTATTTATTTATATTTATATTTATTTAAGTCTACTCCAAATAAAAAATTATAATGGACTGGATGTAGTGATTTCAAATAAAGGTACAGATATAATGTTATTATATTATTAGGGCGCATACTAGTAGCACCCGGAAAACAACGAATTGCTTCTGATATTTATTATTACTACAAAAAGTCAATAATTTTTATCCCTTATGCCTAAGTATAAACAGGTGATTAATTATCATTTACCATTTTATTTATTTTAAAAGAATAATAATTTAGAGAATTTACTATATATTTACTTATTCAAATAGTTTTTATTAATTAATTTTTGAGTGGAAAAATAATTTTTTGGTTTCTTATCATTTATAAGGGAATAAACTACGTTTTTTTTAAGTAGCAATATACATATTTAACTCGTACATTAAGGCGGAACGTAATATTGAAAATGTTAATAATTGAATTCTAATGGAACAAAAAAGTTGCAGTTTAATCTCCTGATTATGGGAGATAAAAAAAAAAAAAATTTTTAATATCTTCAGGTGCCGCAAGAGGGTTGAAAATTTGACTGTGAGGATAATTTTTTCGTTTTTGTCATTTATCTTTTAATCTATTCTATTCACAGGAAAAATTATAAAATTAAACTTGTAAAACTAAATGTTTACCATAAAAAATGTTATTAGCAAAAAAGCCGTATGTATAATACTTAGTCATTAAAATTAAAAAACAACATATTTTTATCTTTACCATTGAAATAGTTTTTATTAGTTTATTTAAATATTGCAGACGAAATATTCAACATACAATAAAAATGTTCGTATAAAAATTGTTTAAAATTTGATTGTTTATAATTTTTGTTGTGTTTATCATATTTTTTACCAAACGTAGTTGTTATAATCAAGTATTAGTTTGCAAAAAAGTATTTTTCCCTCCAACTTAGTATAAAAGTGTTAATATCTTTTAAAATATTGGTTCAAACTTTTTTATCGACCGAATATTTTTTTATTTAAATCACCTTTTATAAAAAAAATAGATTTTTAGGAATATTAATAGTAGAGTTGAACGAAAACAAATTTTATTTTGCAAATTCTAATATTACTAGAAAGTTGTTGTCCATAATCAAATATGTGTATAAATAATCACAATCTTAAAATTATTACAAAATTTTACGAAATTTACAGAACACATTACTTAAGAGTTTTAAATGTATTTTTGATTTATTGTAATGTATTAAATTTTTATATAAGTAAAAACATTAACTTAATTAAATTGAAAATATTTTTTGGAATTAAAATGAGGCATTATCCTACGAGACTCAATCCTAGCCTTTATAACACCATCTCTTCTAGCTTGTCCGCATACAGCTGCAGATGATTGTGTTACTAATTTTACGCTTCTTTCAACAGCCTATGTATAACAAGGTAAATAAAAAATTTCTAAGGTGTTCTTCTTGTCACTGAGTACAATCTAAAATAGAATTGAAATTTAAGTTATTATAAAAATTATGTGAACAAAAAATTATACCTGTCTTGATCAGGTATAATTACTTTAAAAAAGTTGTCATTATAAATCCTCTCCTCTGGGCAGGTAAAAAGTCAAATTTATAAAAAAAAATATACCAAATGATAAATAAAGACCTCAAGCATCTATAAAAAAAAAATTTATTGATTTGTCCAATTTTAAGAAAGTTATGGCAGTTTTAAGTAAAAAAAATTGAAAATTAGCGATTTTAAAATTTGTAATTTTTTTGGATGTTTCCCCCATTTACGGTTGGGAACAAGGGAAATTTTTTCAATTTTTGAGGGTAATGTCTTCGACTAGATACGATTTGTGATCTTTTGGCGTATCGCTGAGAAAAAATGGTTTAGTGAGAGCTGAGAAAAAGTGGTAACAGTCACAAAAAAACACATCATAGTCAAACCAATACCTTCTCAGCTTCGCATCGAAGCTAAAGAATAAAGATTATACTCTATCGTTAGGGATAAGCAATAGGCCAGAAAAATATTTAGCGACTCAAAAATCGAGAAATAAATACTAATAAACAAAATTTAAAAAAATGAAATTTTCAAAATTATTACTTTAATCATCGTTAATCATGGTTGTCGTCGACTATCAGTTTTCTTAATTAGATCATTTTTTTTATATAAGTTAGTTAAATATGTATGTTGACATTAAAAAAAATAAAATTGTCACCCATACAAAGTATAAAGGATGATTTAAAAAAATTGTTATTATTGATAAAATCAAAAATATATGAAACTAAAACACCAAAAATGATTTTCTTAACACTTATTATTATTTTAAGAGAAATCGAGTGAATAAGAGTAGTTATTAAAAAAATGGCCTGTATTTTGTTATCTCAATTTATTATAAGCCATTGTTAGGTCGAATATTTTTTTTGGATAAGGAACCACCTTCTTTTTAATATACATAATAGATTAACGTTTAGTATGCAAAAATTCTCCTTGAAAATATTTATAACTAACGTTCAAATCTTATTTATCATTTTATTTTTTGTATAAGGGTATGGAGTAAATACAAAATTTGTTTTAATCTAACCCCGGTATAAAACTTGTATGTACCGAATTACTAACAGTTCAAGATAAAATATACTTTTTATCTGTTAAAAATTATAATTATTATAAAATTATTTATTTATTATATCAGAGTTTGATGTGGTCAAATCAACGACTATGTAATGTTGGTATAAGATTTCATTGTGAGATGAGGTGTTAAAGAAATAGTATAAATACACTATTGATAATTTAACATCGCACAGTGCACTAATGTGAGACTATTAGAAGATATTAAATTTTTATTGACTAGAATTAACGAAAGTGGATATTTATGAAGTTACACAATTGAAATGTGAAATAGATGTCATTTTGAAATATTGAGAAGCAATAATGTTGAACATCTATAGAAATATACAAACTGCTCTTTTTAAATACTGCTATTATTGATTTTCTTTATTGCAAATTTAATGTTATATTTATGTATGTATAACTGAAATTACTCTTAATGTAAAATATATATTAATTAATAAGTTGTTTGTATAGCGTTCATTTGAGAGTTGTATATTTTTGTAAATTTAAACTCCTCTTATTTTTAATATTGTTAATATTAATTTTTCAATTGAGCTTTTGGTATCTTAATAACTTCTCCACGAAGTCAATAAACACTATTTTAGCATGACAGGTCACGCTAAAACTGTTATATTCCATTGCATAAACTGGTTTTTTTACACCAAGTTGCTATTTGAAAAATTAAAAAAAATTTCACCTTTAAAATGTATAAGGAATGGAAATATAAAATACTTCATTATTGATAAATTGAAACAAATATGCAACATAGAAACTCACAAAATAAAAAATTTCCCAGTATTTAATTTTTAAATTTACTAAGTGGTTGATGATAACTGGATATACATTAAATATCCTAATAGATTATTGAAATAATTAAATATTTTTATAAAACGATTTCAGTTTAGACACAGAGCTTATTTTGATTAACTAAATAACTAAAAATAAAAATAAATTGTATTATTTATTACACAGAGTGATCAATTTATTATAAACCTCTCGATTAATCTCAAAATAAATATAATATTTCAAAAAAAAAAAATATATTTTCTATAATACATCTTGTATTATAAAAAAAGAAATAAAATGATTAATTGTATTATTTGTTGATCTTTAACATACGCATCAATATAAATGAAATTACTTAAAGCTTATACGATTTTTTACATTGAGCAAGTAAAACAGTATAGTGTAATAAAAATAAAGAAAAAAAGTAAGATTATTTAATTATTTTAAAATATAATTTAATAAAAAATGATGAGTGCTTTATTTTTTAGAAAATTAAGATGATGGCAATATTAAAAATTATTTCAGGGATTATTGCTACAATGATAATCGGTTCCAGTAATATGAATGTTAAATCTTCAAAACAAAATAAAGATATTGAATTAAGAAGCAATCTTTGCTACTCATTCATTTTTAATGAACCCGTATTCAATAAAGACAATAATATAGTGTTGTTTAGTCAACTAGTATCTAATTATTATAATCGATCTAACTATCCTAAAGACGAAGAAACCAATGATTATGACTTTGTTTTCAAGACTTCTTTTAAACAAGCAGTTACAAATCGCACAAACAAATATGTCTATTTACTTAGTAAATATAGTGAAAAAATATTAAATGATAGTACTGAAAACAACACTCAGAAGGTTTTCAAATTGATGAGAAGAGCTATTTATTCGATTAAATCAGGACTTCATAAAAGATCAATTAATATTATCAATATTAATTTGTTCATTAATAGTTTGCAAGAACAAAATGTAGAAAATTATACAAATTTTCTAAAGACTCAAGATGGACTTCCTTACAGTATTTCTCCGGCAAGTAAAGCTTTAATAATATGCCAAACACCAAGTTCACTAGAATTGTACGAGTCCCTAAAGCCATTAGAAAATTTTCTTGATATTTTTACTTCAAACATATTAACTTCCGAAGAGCTACTAAAAATCCTCGAAAATATTATAATTCGTATTGATGAAGAATACTCAAACAAGTGGTAAATTAAATTTGCTCCTAGTATTAACATTTTTTTATATTCGAGAACACTAATTAGTTAAAATTATGTAAGGTAAATTGTATAATAAGGTGTATTACATTTGTATGTAAATGTAATTATCATATTATTAATAAAAATAAATAAATAATAGCAACACAATCTTCTATAGTAAATTTTATTTTTTTTCAAAATTTTTCTTATTAATATCTAATTGAAACTCTCATTAGTAGTCAATATTTAATTTGTACAAGAAAGTGCGTACTGAAAAACAAAAGTCTGTTTTTTTAAAACAAAAGTTTCAAACATTGATACATTTAATATATCTATTTAAATCGTTTTATATAATTAGAAACTTTATGTACTCAGAATTTAAAAACCTCCTGTTTGTATATTTCCAAATATAAAATAGAAAAATGTGCGAAAATCATTACAAATAAAATCAAATTTATTTCAGATATTATTAATATATAGCAACAATTTAATTTCTAAAAAAAAATGTTGACTAATACATTAACAATTGTTTTATATATAAAAATACAAGGATAATTTAACAGTAAACATTTTTATTTTTTACAAGCTAATATGATGAAAATTTTACATTTTTTTTCGATAATTATTGCTGCATCAATGGCCGTTTCAATTCGTGTAAAAAACAATGCTCCTATGAAAAGCAAAGATATTGAATTATCCGATAAACCTCCCTACTCATTCATTTTTAATGAACCAGTATTCGACAAGGACAATAATATTATATTGTTCAGTCAATTAGTATCTCAATATTTTAACCGATCGAATTACCCTAAAGACGAATTGACCGATGATTACAATTTTGTGTTTAAATATTCGTTTAATTTGGCAGCTCAGAATCGATCATATAAATACGGTCATCTATTGATTAAATATAGCTTTGAGATATTAACTCGAAATATCATATACGAAAATCATAAAAATGAAGTTTTAGATTTGTTGAAAAAATCTTTTAAAACCATGGTTCATGGCCTTCGCAAAAGATCAATAAAATTGTATGACATTATTTTTTATCACAACACATTACTTGAAACAAATGCAAACAACTTACAATCATTTTTAATAACAGCTCAAAATGAACTTCTCAATCGCAAGATTTTTGTGTTCACAGTTCCAAGTAATTCAAATTTTTTAATAAATTCATCATCTCATCAAGAATTATATAAGTCATTAGAGCCCATGGGAAATTTACTTGATATTTTTACATCAAGTCAACTGACTATTGAACATTTACTTGATATACTCAATAATATTGTCGATCGGATCGCAAGTGAATATTAAATTTCAGTTCGAAAAATTTGTTTTCAAATCACTGTAATATTTTTATATTATTATTATTAAATATTAAATATAACTATTATAGTTATAATTATTTTCGGTAATTTAAAATTCAAGAATTTTGCCCTTTTTAACAAAACGATTTATGGCTTTTATAACATAGATTCTATACGAAGTAATCGGCTTGTCACAAACCGCTCGATCACAAATTTAATTCAATTATAAAATAAAAAATTATCTAATCAAAAAAAATGACCAGCGATAAAAACTTTTGGACCAATACCTTGGATGTTATCCTCATTTTTATACCCAGGCAGGACAAGACTAGTGATAAAAATAGCAACACCCATTCCTCATGTCCCGTCATTATTTGAATTGTTAATAAAATCTGAAATACTGGTACAAAAAGTGTTATCAATCAACCATTTTCTTAATTAGATTATTTCCTATTTTTTAAGCTATTTATGATGTAATGTATAATATAAGTTGCCATTTAAAAAATTAAGTTGATACCGCTTTAGTAATAGGAGATAATTTTAAAAAGTAATTATTAGCTGATTAATCATGAAACTAAAAGAAATCAAAAATTATTTTTTCAACATTATATTTATTTTTTGAATAATGGAGTGGTTTATGATAAACCGATCATTCTGTATATGTAAATATTTTTAAGATATATTTTTTAGGCTAATTAATTCAGTTATATCCAAAATAAAATGTTAAATTTTTACTATTAATATTTTTGATTTTTAACTATGTGATGAATCATTAAAATTTAGGAAGGATACCATATCACCCTATTACTTTGTAGGTTATATTTATTTTTACAATGTTGCTTATAATCATGAATAATGATATATTCTATTTTTTTATATCTGCTAATAGAGTTTATAAAATTTAAAAAAATCATATTCCAAAATTACGATTAAAAACAGTTTTAAGGAAAATCAAATAAAAACTACAGTGCCATTTTGTAGTTATATTATCAAATTAAAGTAAATGAATATTATATTGAATAATTATTTATGAGTCTTAAAATATGATTTTCGAAAACAGCTGAATTTCTAGCAAGCGTTTAACAACTTCAATTTTTCTTACGTTACCTACAATTGGGTTTTTATAACCATTATTAATATTTATTAATAAAGTTCAAATTTACCTAATATGCAGTTGAAAAGTTTACAAATCTTCAGTATACCTACATAATTGAATAATATTATTTTAATTTTGTTTTTTCCTTTTTTTGTTAGTATTGCAATTAGAGAAAGATTTGAGTCGAGTAGTCTAATCGAGATTTACAGTCACGACCTTGTTGTGTTGACGGTGCGCTTTATGCGGTTTGCCTCTCCAAAGAGGGTTGAACCAAATCCGTTGGTAATTAACGTATTTGTTTTTGTTGTTTCGAACTTTAAGTATTAGCCCACTTTGGGCGTTATAATTGCCTTTGTAAAATGCTACCTGCCTTCATTTATAACGCTATGGCCATTGGCTTTACATAATAACTACACATGTAAATATAACATAACTAGTTGTATAGTGTTTGGACGAGGAAGAAAATAACATTGACCATTTTGATTGCAATGGAGATGTCCAAATAACTGTAAAATATAGACTTCCCTAACGAATCTACACTATTACGATTCTATGTACATAATTTTATGTTAAATATATCACTCTATTAATTATGTGAGTTTAAAAGACTAAGAAACAATAAAATAACGAGAGGTTTCCAAGTTATGGCGCATTTTTTCATTATTTCCCAATTACTTTTGTACTCTCAATGAGTATTCATTAAAACTTGAATCGTTTTATTCCCATTTTTCCTCTACTGAAATACACCACATTATTATTACTTTAATTTGAGTTTTAATGATCGTCCGTACAAAAATATGAATGTAACCTGGTAAAAAGTTTCGTCTTTCACGACAAAAAAAAAAAGATTTTTAAATTATGAAGGCAATTAATCATTATAGTCTTTATTGTGCTAGATTATACATGTTTCTAAAGTAACAAATTTATAAATTAATAAAATCAGCAACAAAAATAGCCTCATTTATCGATCTAAATTTTAGCAATTTAATAAACACATACAGTTAAGACTATTTAATTATCAAGGTTTACATCGAGCAACAGATAATAACGAATATATTTTAGAATATTTTTATTTATTTAACGCACATAAATCACACAAAGAATTTGAGTTCTTTTGTTTACAAAGTAAACGTAATGTTCACATCCACATATCTACGTGGTTAGTCAATAATACTTATGAAAACTTTGGTTAAATTTCCACCAGAAATATGTTATGGATAATTTCCAAAACAATCGATTAAAACTCCACTTGGATCTTACTTTTTGTTCTCATTAAATTGAGTACAAGTTTGATAATTCACATAGCTGTGTAATATAAGAAACAGTCACAAAGATTTAATCTGTTAATTATTATTTTTTTTTTTTAATGAACATTTTTTTTATTTTTAAACTTAAATATTTGAATAATGAATACTTAAATCTTATCAATGAGTAGTATAATTATAATTTGTTACTTCGCTATTTGCTTGATCAAATAACTCAAATTTAAGGGGTACAAATTTTCTATTGAAAACAATTTGCTGTATCAACATGACAAGAATGGAGTTAATAATTATTTAATAAGCATAGGTCTCATATCTTCAAGGAAAACCTTCTACATATATTACAGCTTTGATATATACACTACTAACAGTAGTGAATTACATTGTAAAAGTAATAGTTACGTTAACGCATGGTAAGACTTAATGTAACAGTAGTAAGATAAAAGTAAAACAAGGACAGATATTGCAAAAAGCAAATAAACTAGATTGTTGACTTAACATTAAAGTTTACGAATTATTTTTATTTTCATTGTTAAATTCTTCTTATATATGTAAAAAATGTAAAGTGAAACTTTTTAATATTAAAAAGAGCCTGTTACTAATATGATAGGTTATTTATATTTGAAGGAACAGAGAAAAAAGAAGGGAGAATGAAAATAGTTACACATATTTTAATGAATATAAATAGACCATATCAAATCTTAAACCGTAAAGGCGCAGGGGGTAACTAAAATACTAAAAGAAGCAATTATCAATTACTAAACTAAGTAACAATTTTAAAATAAATATATGTTTAAAGTTCTTATTTGAATGCTGATGTTCTAAATACAGCGAATAGAAAATCTGAGCTTAATTATTTGACTTTAGTGACAAAAAAACATTGACAAAACGATGAAATAGTGAATATAAGATGGCGACAAATATTTATAAATACATGTGGCTATAGTACATAATATAAAAGCAATTTTTATAATCTACTGAATCAATAACATAAATCACAAATATGAGCGCCAAGAATAACAAATGGTAATAAGACATAACTGAGGCATTGGTAGTAAAGTTAATAAAAAATTGTAAGCGGTGTATTAATGAACTTAATAAACATATTAAAAACTTAACATTAAATCAGATACTATAAACGACAATACAGGGCAGACAATGATAAAAAAAGTGAACACTTTTTGACACCCAAACATAGTATTTGTCTACATTAGATTTTTCAGTCGTTAATTTATTGATAACCACTTCTTGTGATAAGAATTTTATACATTTGAAAATAATGAAAATTTTACTTTTGTTTAATACTGTATACTATAATTTATCCAATTATAACTTATTTATATATAAAATAATTTTACAAGCTCATAATATTTTTTAATTTTTTGTTTTTAACATTCTCAAATTAATTATTGCATTTCATAACATAACACATTTATGATTACTTTTAATATTTTGTTAGTTAATATAGACCTACAATTAGGACATATATCA